CTGAGCGCAGGCCAGCCCACCCGCAGGCTCTGAGCCTGCCCGTGAGGATGGGCCACAGGCGGGTCCTCGGTGGCACATGTGTGGCTTCCCCCATGTCATCCGTCCGTGGCCCTGCACGGGCAGCCTCGTGCCTCTTGTATGTGGGAGGGAGCCATGGGACTGCGACCCTGCGGTGGAGCCACGGGACCTGCCTGACATCGGAGCCTAGGTACCTCCCAGCCTCTGATCGTGGCACTGTTGCCATTCTCCCTCACGGGTGTGAGGGGCCCTGCAGTGTGTTGTGGGCCCGGCGCCAGCCGGCGCCAACAAGCAGATCTCCCCAGCGGCCTGGCAGGGGCCCGTCTCTACTGGAAGGCGATCGGAGCAACTGCCTGGGGGTGGCCATCGCACTGGGGCCACAGAGGGTGCAAGAGAATGGGCGCAGTGTCCACCTGGTGCAGGAGGCCAGACAGCATCCACCTCACCTTCCGTCTGCTGCTCTGAGTGGGGCTTGTGTCGGGACAGGGGCTGTGGTTTTCCTGAGGGGTTGAAGGCAGCCGGCATGGCGCAGGCAGCTGTCCAGCTCTGGGGGAGCAGGATTACAAGACCAGAGGGAGAACCCCAGGACACTCAGAACACTCCGGGCTCAAGTTAGCAAGTGGGGCCAGGCCTGGAGGTGGCAGCTTGGAGGAGCTGGGGATGTGGGCGGAGAGCAAGGAGGCGTCTGCTGGGCGTCACAGGGTTTTTAATTCCTGAACTGGGAGCTGACTCTAAGTTCTGCACTTTGTCCCCAAGAAGTCTGTCCGGATGTTTTACGTTTTCATCCATTTGTGTGTCTCCTAGAAAAGCCAAGTCGGTGGTATTGGGGCGCCGGCCTCCATGGGCCTGGCTCAGGGTGACCGAGTGGGTTAGGGCGCTTGGGAGCAGGAGAGGCCTGTCCAGGTGTTATAACCATCACCAGTTAACAGAAGACGAACCGGTGGACCGCTGCATCGAGGGGCACGGTCTCCCTTCATCTCTCCAGGTGTCTTCCAGAGCAGACGAGGGGACATTCACAGCTCTCCCCACCTGCTTGGACACCACTGTGGCTGTTCCCAAGGTGGAAAAAGCTCAATCGCTGGCATTTTAGACTCGCACCCAAACTCCCATCTGGCCCGTGAACCGGGGAGGCCATCCAGTCCCTCTGTGTTTCCACGGCTTTGGTCTGGGCACGTGCTCTTCCTTTCTCTTGGGCGTGCGCTGAGGCATGCGGCTGCTGGGCCATATGGTAAATCTGCGTCTACCTTTTCAAAATCGGCCAAACTGTTTTCCAAAACGGCTGCACCGTGTCGCATTCCGCCAGCAGCGTGGGAGGATTCTGGCTGCTCCGCGTGCTCACCGACACGTGTTACGGTCCGTCTGTTTCGTTACTGCCATCCCGGTGGGCGCAAACGGTCCCTTGTAGCTTCTGCATGCACCCCCCTCCCCATGACAGCCGATGCTAAAATCTCACGCTTTATGAGCCGCGTGCCTCCTCTTTAGTCAAGTGTCTATTTTTTTTTTTTTTTGCCCGTCTAAAACTTGGATTATTTGTCTTATTACATCTTGAGTGGTTTATATAATCTGGATTCAAGCCTTGTGTTGTGTATGTGATTTGCAGGTGCTTCCTGCCAATCCGTGCCTTTTGTTCTTCCCTATGAATGATGTCTCTTGGCATGCCAAGGTGTTTAGGATCAATAACGCCTCTTTAGCCAGTCTCTTTGGTTGGTTGTGCTTTGGGGATCGTATCCGAGAGATCTTTGCCTAACTCAAGGTCACGAAGATAGCCTTATGTCTCCCGCTGAAGCTGTAGCTTTAGACCTTACGTTAAGTCTGTGCTCCATTTTGAGTTCGTTTTTATGTGTGGTGTATGATTTTGCATGTGGCTATCCAGCTGTCCCAGCACGATCTGTTGAGAAAACACCCAAACTGTTCCTTCCCCCGTCGAATTCCCACGGCACCTCTGCGAATCCCCGCCACTCACGTTCAGCGCCCCAGCTCTCTCTCTCCCCCTCCTCTTGCTCATCGTGGTGGTTGGCAGAGTGGCTGGATGGAATGCTAACCGCTATTCCAAGTGTCTCACCAGATGATCACATTTACCAAAAGCCGGCGGCAGTGCGAGCAGCCCTGGCCGGTCGAATGTGGACCACACGCCAGCTGTGTGATCTGGGTTAAATTTCTTCATCGGTCCCTGCCTCAGTTTCTCCAGCTGTGAACCAGGGGTCCTGGTAGCCCCTTACCTCACAGGGTTATTGTAAGAAAGATGGGCAGATACACGTAACTGATGTTCTGTGGATGCAGTATTGTCTTCCAACTCCAGCCATGCCTCTGGGCCGGCCTTGCTCCCTGAAAGCAGAGAGGGGTGGTAGAGGGGCTCTCGGCACAGCCTGCAGCTGTCCAGGAAGGGGCTCCTTTAGCCCACCGTTCTGGCTGGTTTTGACATCAGCTGCTGGTGGACACAGTGTGAGTCCATACTTTTTTGGTGTAAATGCCCCTCCTTTTCTAGGAGGGCCTGCAGGGCACGGGTCCCTTCCGGATGCCAATGTGTTCCCTTCCGATAACCCCACGAGAGAAGAACTGCGAATCCTGAAAACAGAAGCTTAAGCCCCCTCTGATTGGTTTGCAATGGATTCTAGTACCACGCACGCGCGTGCGCACGCACACCTGCACACGTGCACGCACACGCACTTGCACACACACCCAGCCTGACAGGCTCCTTCACCACCTTTTCTTCCTCCCATTTGTGAGCAGCTCCCCCTGCAGAGCCCAGACACTTGCACCCTTCCACCCCTGCCTGGGGTGGGGGTCTCAGCCTTGGCACTGTTGACATGGGGGCTGAGCCACTGTTCATTGTGGGGATCTCTTGGCCAACGCAGGATGTCGAGCAGTGTCCGTGGCCTGCCTGCACTAGATGCTTCCCCTCCCCGCAGTTATGACAACAAAAAATGTCCCCAGACGTTGCCACATGTCCCCTGGAGAGCAAAAACCACACCCCGCTGAAAACAGCTGCCACACAGGGTCGCATTAAAGGTGTGCAAGACAAACTGGGGACCAAGCCTGGGCCCTTGCGGGCAGGTCTTGGCAAAAGTGACCCAGAGGGATGCGTTTTAGAGCTTGTCCTGCAGTCAGAGCTGCGTGTGCCTTGTCTCCAGGGGCTTGCTCTTCTCGGAATGCTCCGGGCAGCAGAGTGTGTCCTGGTCTTGTGGGCTCGGCGTGGGACAGCTGTGGCAAGTGTGGCCCCTCCACCCCCCGGCGCCGTGACTCCTGCTCTTGGTTCCCACCACCTTCGCTCTGAAGCCGTGTCTGCCCAGGTCACCGACATGAAAAGAAATGCAGACCGAGCCGCTCAGCTGAGTCCCAGCCCCGACCATGAGGCCTCGCGTTTGAGGGAGAAGCACAGGTTACTGCAAGTCCCCGAGAAAGGAGCCCTCGCCCTGCAGAGACGACAAGACCTTCCACCGTGGAAGAGCCCGCGGCGCCTGGCCGAGGAGCTGGAGGCTGGGTGGCAGGAGGCCCCCAGCCAGCAAGTCCGGGGCCTGGAGCGGCCGTGTTTAGCACATCTGTCAGGTGCGGGGGCAGGACAGGCCAGGGAGCCCCTGCCTGACTCGGAGGGGCCGGCCCAGCGAGGAGCAGCCTGGCTGCAGAGGGCCAGGGAGAAGCACAGAGCAGCCGCAGCCGCCAGGGAAGAGAAGAGTCGCAGAGAAGAGCTAGTCGGACGGCAGCCTTGGCGCACCAAGTCCCAGAGGAAAGCGGTGGGCGCGGAGAAGCAGGGGGCTCCCAGAGCTGCCGGCCGGACCCGTCACCCCCTCTGCCCCTGTGAGAAGAATAAGGGCAAGTGAGCGCCTTCGATGAAGACCCGTGGTGGCCGCCATCCCGCTGAGCCCCGGGAGGGCAGAGGGGTGCACATAGAAGAGTTCTTGGCTGCTGCAGGGGAGCTCGAGCGTTGGGAGAAAGAGGGGAGAGAAGGAGCCCGGGATGGGCAGAGGCAGCCAGGAAAGGGGGCGGCTCCTCCTGGTTGAGGCCCGGACCACAACTATCCGGATCAGAGTCCCAAGGGAAAAGCAGACCTAGAAGAGCTGTGGCCCATTGGCTGGACCCCCGGGGGGGGGGGGCCGCGCCCCAGGCGTCTCCGTGCCGGCGCAGGGACGAGAGTAGGTGGCAGAGGGAGCTTGAGTTTGCCTTCCAGGAGCTGTTTAACACAAACAGAGAGCTGAAGACGCACCTGAACTTGCACCTTGCAGCGGGGCCCGGGGTGGATCAGAGCGCCAGGGAAGAGCTCAGCCTCTCCGAGGTGCAGGAGTGTAGAGGTGAGCCCCACAGGGACAAGACAGCGGTGGGTGCAGAGGCGGACGTGCAGCCTGGCGGGGGGCCCACGTGCCCAGTGCAGGCGGACGCCCACCAGACCGAGTCCCAGACCAGCTTGAAGGAGTTCCTGAACAAGCTCAAGAACCAGAAATATCTCCGGTTGGCCACATTCCCATGTAAGACCAAGAGTGAACCGTTGTCTCCCAAGGCAAGAGTATTTATTGGTGAAGAGAACCGGCTCCTTGGCGGCACAGGCTCTGGACAAGCAGCGGCCAGACCGGACCCGCTGGTGGAGGGCCCCTGGCGGGGTTGTGGCAGGGACCGGGTGGGCAGCTGGAGCTGTGGCACCGGACGGGCCCCCCCCCGGGGCTGAGCTGGGAAGCCCACTCCCAGGCCGGGCTGGAAGAGCAGAGAGAACAGAGAAGGGCGTGCCTGGCTCGCCTGAAGTCTTACTCCTCCCTAGACCAGGAGAAGGAAGGGGCATGTGAGCACGGCACCACTTCCCTCTGGGCCCCCAGCTTCATGGATGATGACAAGCACAGTCAGATGATCCGTGACCTTCAGCAGCAAACTGAAGAGCAAAACAAGTTGCACAAGCAATTTCTTGAAGAAGCCAGGAAACGCTTGCAAGAGTTTCAGAGGATATGATAAGAGCGAGCGCCCCACCCACGATAAGTACATCGCTGATAGCGAGCGTGATGCCGGAGATGGTACCCGAGCCTCTGCGAGTCTGTGTGCGTGTCCCCTGCTCAGACCCCGGCACGCCACCTGTCCCCCCCGACGGCCTGTGGGGTGCATCCTCCTTTCCCCGGGCCTGCCTTGGCACCAAGTCCCGTCTGGGAAGGCTCCCTGGCACAATCACGGGAACCTGGCTGGCAGGGCGCCCAGGGGGGTCCCGGGGCTGAGGCTGTGCCTGCACGGGCCACGAGCACAGCCGGAGATTCAGGTGAAGGAGGGAGTCCAGATGTTTTGGCCACATAAACGCTGCACTTTCAGGGGCATCCAAGGTCAAGCCGGCACGGTTTCAAAAGATGCATCATTTGTTCCTTAGCGATTGGCTGGGACATGAATGGGGACATTGCACTCAAACCTCTTTCGTCTTTCAAGCCAACAAAACCAACCTCATTTCATGGGACCTGGTTTAGGATATTCTTGTCACTCTAACGTTGGGAAGTGAGGCAGAGGAGAAGCAGGAGGGAGAGACGAAAGAGAAGACAGAGCCCCAGAGAAGAAAGGGGAGTGGTCCCCAGCAACGTGGCCTGCCGGGTGCCTCCTCCTGGGGCTGGAGTGGCGGGGCGCCTGGCTGACTGGTCAGTGTCCCACCCCCGGCTGCACCCCTGACCTGGCAGCTGGGCGGCAGGGGGTTCATCTGCCAGTTGCAGATACTTAGAGTCTGGAACAGGGGTGGATGGATGCACTTCTTCTGTAGAGGGCCAGATAGTAAACATTCTAGGCTTTGCCAGCCCACCAGTCCCCGTGGCCACGACCCACCCCTGCCACTGCGCCTCGAACGCAGCCATAGACAACACGTGAGTGAATGGGGAGGGCCAGGTTCTGGTAAGACTTTATTTACAAAAATAGGGGGGTGTCTGCGTGCGGACCTCAAGCCACAGTTGGGCAACCCCTGGACTGGTGTATGAAGGATGTGGCTACCTCCCTCCCTCTCTCCCTCCCCAGGACCTCAGACGCACTCAGTTGGATCATCCGTTTTCGGTCATGATGCATTTGTATCATCGGTCCGTGAATGGCCTTCTCTCCCTTAGTGTCTATTTCCTGGATAACATAATGAACAATTGTGAGCCCACCATCCAAACCCAAGATCTAAAATATTTGCTCAAAACCAGCTTCTACCTGTGTGCTCCTTCCCTGTTCTGTTCCTCCTTAGCTACATGCCTGCTCAACTTGGGGTTTGTCCCTCCATTTCTCCCTGCGGGGCACACAGGGAGATATGGGGTGAACCAGTCCCGTGAGAAACCTGAGCTGGGCTTCCCGGGGGCGCATCAAGCTCATGGAACCCCCACACATGCCACTCGGACAGGGCAGTAACAACACCCTCTAAGTTTTTTGGGTGCTTTTCCAATCCCCGGTAGCTGGGGCGAGGAAGCTTTTGCGGTCTCACGTAATTATCTCATTGAAAGCATCTCCTCGAGTCCCATCGTCTGTCCGGCTTTTCCACATTAGGTAGAGAAAATGTTTGCTCCCAGCCCATTTCCATTCTGTCCTCTGCTGCTGGAACGTCACGGGAGAGGGCTGCCAAGCCAGCTTGACAGTCTGATCTAAGCCCAGCATGAGTGAGAACAAGGCCCTGGGGCCGGGAGAGCTCTGTGACTCCCAAACCGAATGAGGATTACCTGAGGGGAGGCTGGCCTGGGGTCGCTCAGCGTTGCAGGGTATGGGATCACCCAGGGTTCCTGCATGCTGGTGAAGCATCACCTTGGTCCCAGAAGGTGCCATGGGATCACCGGGTTAAAGCCATGACCGTGATGGGACCCGAACACTGACTGCCTGGAAGCCGCGGTCTGATGAATGGATGAGCCTGCCTTTGAGGGGGTTATTTTTGTTTCTCTTTTCCAAGGTAGTATTTGTGGCCCGAGTGTCCTAGGTGAGGAGGCGCCCCTTCTCGGCCACACTTGAGCTAAAAGTAGATGTAGGAGATGGACAGCGAGACAAGGGGGAGGGTGAGTCATCGGTGCCCGACGGTCACACCTACACGTCCCCCCCCGCAGCAGGACGAAACACCGCGCCCTTTCCCACCTGGGCTGCAGAAGGCTGGGGGCTGCGGTGCTGAAAATGAAACTGCCCTCCAGCCCGCCCCCGGTTCCCTCTGAAGAGGCCATGGGTATCTTCCATCTCCGTGGTACCCAGAGAGCAGGCTGGGGTCCTGGCGGACCCTATCTTTGCTCCCTGTGGATCGCTCTGACACACCTGGACAGTGGTGCCAGGGGACCTGGGACAGCACCACCTGGAAGATTGGGGGGCTCCTGGCAGGTTCCCACGGAGCACGGCCAGGTGGCCGTGAGGATTCCTGATACGATGGCTATGTGCACCTTCGTCCTCCTGGAGCACTTCTCGGGTCCTCCCCTATGGGTCCTCCCTCTCCAAACACTGTATCTTCTAGAACTTTCCATGGGTTTCATGCTTCTCACACATTTGGGGATAGCTTCCCTGTTTCCGTCTCATTCTGAATTTACTAGAACCTTTACGGTCTGGTGCGAGGGTCCTCACACCTGTCCCCTCCGCCACCTAGCCAGGTGCGTGGTCATAGGGGGTGTGATAATATCCAGACCCTCAGAAATGTAAAATAACGGGAAAAAGAAGATTTTTAAAAATCGGGGCACAGGGCCCCCTCTCGGGCCTGCAGTGGTTCTTCCAGTCTCCTGCCCCCACCCCCTCCTCTGTAACATGATGGGGGGTTGATGTGGACACGTGGGCTGCCTTTACAGTTCCGGGAACAGTCCAGGCTGGAGAGGGGTGCCGGGTTGACGGGACATCTCTCTACACTTCTGGCTCCAGGAGGCGGCCTTGTTTGATCAGCTAAGCTCCAGGGCGTAGGAGGAGAGGGCACACGTGCCTCCCGGGTTCTCCCCACGTCGGAAGCTGAAATGTAGGCCCTGGGATCCCAGCCTTTTACATCCCCGGGTCTGCCTGAGAGAGGTCAGCCCACAGGCTGCATGCCTCAGTCCTACACGAGGGCCGGAGCTGCTGCCTTGTCCGTGCTCACAGGCCTGAGCCATGGGCCCGGCCCTCTTGCTTTCACCCCTGAAGTGGGGCAGCCCAGAGAGGACAGGGCCACCCGACCTCTCCGTGCCCCTTCCCTAGCCGGCGGATGGGCAGGGATTGCAGGGCGCCGGCGGGGGGGCGGGTGGCTGGACGTTCCCGTCCGCACCTCTCCGGGCTCCCTCTGCCTCCTGCCCTGCCCCATCCAGCTGCTGCTCCCGCTGCGGGCTCCAGGCTTGGGGTTTGCAGGGCTGAGCTTGGCTGCTCCTCGGGGTCTTGGCGGAGAAAGTGCAGACCAGCAGTTCCTTCCACAAAGCCGCACTGTTCTCAGCAAATCCTCCCAGGATCGGGATGCATTTTTTTCAAGTGATTCAGCAGCACGTGAATGGGAAGGGCCTGAGCCCAAGGCTTCGGGAACCATGACCAAGGCCCCTGGCATGAGCTCCCGCTGGGCTCACAGGGGGAAGGAAGGGTGGCAGGGCGTGAGTCGGGGGCCTGCCAGGGTCCTGGGGGCCTGGGGCGGGCGGCCGAGCAGCGAGTGCCCCAGCTTTTCTCTGCACAGCTGATGAGCTCTTAGAGATGTTTCCCTCGTGCTCCCAAGGGGGCCTGAGCCAACGGACAGGAAGTGGAGGTGGGAACGCTGGTCTCCATGGAGACCGGGCATCCAGTGGACAGCAGCTCATGGGAAGGTGCTAGAATCTCCAAAGGCCCAGGGCTGGGGCCACATGCTGTGTGCTGTCCTCTCTCATGCACCCGGTCACCCCTCCTGCCCCACCCTCAGCCCCCACAGACACAACTGCTCCGAGTCGTGGTGAGTATAGGCCTTTCCAGCCCTGGCCTGAGTCATGCTGGCCAACTCGCCCTCACCCTGGACAGGCGCAGCCCTGCCCCAGAGCTGGGGACATCCGTCGGCTCCCCGGGATGAGGAGGCTTGCAGGGACCCGAAAGTGGCTTCTGGTGTGTCGGGGCAGCTGCTCAGGCGGAGGGAGCCCCTGGTTGCCTTCTACCACCACAGAAAGGTTTTAATTATAAAATGAGCCCCCCCCCTTCTCAGTTCCTAAAAGAAGTGAATCGGAAGAAGTCGGCTCCCCTGCTGACTGAAAGCGGCCAGGCCCTGACACCAGGGAAGGTTGGCGGGGCCAGGTGTCTGGGGAAAGCCCCGCCCCTGCCGCCCCGGTGTCCACCATGGGGCACCTGCAAAGGCGCAGCGTGGCCAGACAGTGAGGCCGGAGGGGCAGGTGGGGCTGGATGCTCCCAGGGACGTCTGGGTGCTGAGCCAGCGCTGATGCTACACATTCCTTGTGACATCTCCCAGGCTGTTGGACCGCACCCCGTTTCCACGTGCGGTTCTGTGGGGAGGGGCGTGGCCTGGAGACCCAGGGGGTCCGAGCGGGCCTGCATTCCATGTGAGCCCGCTTCTCTTCCTCAATCCCCGTCTGCCCCGTTCCCTGCCCTCCTGCTGGGGAGGTCACCTACCCTGCTCGTGGAGCAAATGCAGGCCCATTGGAGAGGTTCAAAACCATCCTTACTATGCCCCCCAAAGCCCCGTGAGGTGCTGTTAGGGATCCCACGGTAATGGGGGGCAGGGCCCTGAAAATGTGCTCCTTTTGTTACAGCTTTTATAGGGCAAAGCTGCAGCTGTTAACTGCTGGGTGTGTCTGGGTGTAGAAGGGGGCTGTGGGGCACCCCCTGGCTTTCCCCAAGTCTGGCCCCGAGGGCTAGTGTGTGGGTGGGACGGGGGCACCCCAGGGCTGCCCTCAGCCAGACTTTGGACCAGCTCATCAAAACTCAGAGGGGCCTCAGCCAGGTTGACCAGCCGTACAGTGTCACCTGTCCACCCAAAAGGGATAAGAAACTCCCAGACGGCAGCCGCAGGATGTTGTTACAGGTATTAGGGGGGATGTTGATCACTCTGTGATCGGAGAGTGTAAACGTCCAGATTCAGGGTCCCCCCTTCTCTGGAGAGCATAGACGAAAGCGGGAAACCCTGCAGCTGTCCCCAAGCCCCCCAGCGGAGTGGAGCCCACCTGGAGTAAGGGGCAGCTGGGTTTCCTCTGAAGAGGTTGGCAT